CGTGTCCCGCAGCCGGAGCGGGGGCAGGCTGCGGGGGGCTCCCCGGGGCGCTGCCCTGCTCTGCTGCCCCGCATCCCTGCTTCTGCGCGGGGCGAGTCATTGCACGCTACCTCGAACAGTCAGCTAAAAACTCCTTTTAGCTTCTACCGTTCCTTTCAAACGTGCTTGGTAAAAGATGTAGCCATCTTTTACTACACCTCGGAGAAAGAAGCTAGTCGTTTAATGTGTTTTACTCAGTAAACCAAGGGCCACCTCTTCCTTTAATCGTTTTTGATATAAGTCCTACCTGTGCCTTCCCCTCTCCTTTAGAATAATAGAGTAGTCCTTGACTTCTTGGTTTACTTCACTATGAGGCAAGCGCTTTTTAGTGCTGGGCTATTTCATTTCAAAGGCTTGGGTATGCGTGTTTGGAAACAAAATGCAGTCTTCCACTATGAACCCTTGTGTCTCTTTTGCACAGACCAGCTAGAACTATAGACTATCTGAAAAATAACATGAGAAAAAAAATCACTCTCAGATACATTCCTCAAAGTGCTTTATTAGAAGGACAAAGAAATTGCTGTGATTCCCCCACCCCAATCCCTAAGGTTGATGTGTGCTTATTTACTTAAGTTGGCATTGCTCAGTTGTTTCGCATAATAAGTCTTTTCCGAGTGGTGAAAGAGAGCCTTGGAAGTGAGTCAAGCGTTTTGACTACAAAATCCCAGTGCAAGAGCCAGTTCTTCCAATTGTTTACCTAGCTTTAACACATTTATTACATTTATGATGTCAGTGTGCATGTTACTTTGTGCATCTGGCCAAAAATTTTACACCATCACAAAGCCAAGTAAATCAGATCTTGCAGATAGTAAAATAGCTAGTTGCTATTTTCAGTAAGTAAAACACTTTTATTTCTAAAAACATAGATAAAATGGATAAGTGGATTCATACGCAGAGGGCATTTTAGGAAAATGAACAAAAAATTTACTGAGGTACAGACCAAAATGAAACAGGAAGGAAAGTGACAGCCTGCATTTCACAAAGTTAGCGGCATAGAAGAGGACATTTTAAAGCTGTTTATGCCAGAAATTCTTTGCCACACCTTCCACTCGTGTATTATAATTCCCTTTATTTTTCTTCTCACGTTTCTTTAAATGTAGGAGATGCTATTTTAATTTTGAAGATGATATCATCTCTGTTTTTAAAACAAAAATATTTTAGTGCTTATTTCTTAGAATTATTCCTTCCAATGGCAAACATCCCAACAGCAGCAAAACTACTGAAATCCCGGACTTTGCAGTTCAAGTCCCAGTCAATACAGGTGACTCCACGTAACTTTTATTTTGTAATATTTTCCCCTGGTGCATTGCTAGAACTGAAGATATGGAGACATTTCAAAAGCAGTTCTTCAACAGGTAGTGAAACATGCCAGCTGTGGTATTGTGCACCAGAGGAGAACTAGCCCGAGAACTCCCTTGCCTTATAAAGGAAGAGGCATTGTTCTTAACTCTGAATCATCTCCGTGTGTTTTTGGCAGAGTGAAGATGGGTGAAGAGATTCTTGTGTGTGCAGTACAACTTGGAGAAAATTTCTGCCTCTATTTTGCAGGTAATTACAACCCACTACTGAAAGAGGCACAGTGTCTTCTTTCTGCATGATCTCACAATTCAGTCCTTTCCTTGGGCTGGCACCCCTGGTGTTGAGGAATCCTCTTACCTGAGCAATCCTCAAAGCAGTGACAATCCTCACTCGTTTAGAAGAATTATAGTTCTTAGATTATGGAGTCGGGCTTTTCACTGCAAAAAGAATCTGAGCTTGAGACAGCTGTCCCAGTGTGTTAACAAATCAGTATCATATTATTGCTGAACTCCTTAAGCATTTAGTAAGTTCCTCTGTTTGGATACTGATTAAAAACAATTTCTTTATCAGTCTGATTTCACCTAATTTTCCCATAAGCTTCAATTTGAAGTATTGTTAGCCAAGTATCAGAGCCAGTGAAATATTTGTTGCTTCATACAACACATTCCCATAAAGGACACTCAAAGGGTTGTAATACTGTGGGGTGGACTTGGAGTAAGTGGATAACTTACAATCTTATAGGATAAAGTTAGTGAGAAAACAGTCTCCTCTTCAGAAGCAGTTGGTAATGACTGATTCTTGTCCTTTTGCTCACTTAGAATAAAGTTGCTGATGAAAACAAACATTTGCATGCTATTGATTCCTTGGTTATAGGCTTAAACTGACTTGAGCTGCTCACCCCTAAGTAACCCTAAAACATTTTGCATGCCTCTTGGTTTGGTGGTAACTCCAGTTCTCAAATGACTGGTGGTTTCATTATTCTGTTGAATTTCTTATGCTCACAAATAAAAACACCCTCTGTAGCTAGAACAGTTCAGCTTGGTGAGTTACTGACACGGGGGAGCACAACTGGAAATGCGGAGGTGGCTGGCTGGCTGGCTTCCAATCTTGCAGAAGAAAACTGGGTAGAAAGTGGTTTCTTTTGTGGGGGCAGAGCTTAATGTTTTTTTCTTTCCTTTTTTCATTGCTCACTTGGAACCAAGATGACGATGATGGTAAGCTCTCAGCTCATCATTATTAACCTCTTTATCAATTTTACCTGAACTGACCTGCTCACGCTTACTAACCCACAAATGCTTTGTGTGCCTTAGAGAACAAGTTTTCAAACTGATAATGGCTACTGTAAAAAAAGAGAGCTACAGCTCACCTTCTCCTGAAGGTGATGTTGCTTTATTTCCTCCTAAGGTACAGGGTAGTGGCTCCCCTTACAGAAGGACCTTTTCATGCAGTCCTAATTGTTGGGCAAAATAGAAAACTGTTGCTTCCAAACTCTCATGAACAGATACAGCAGCTCCTCTCGCTCATACGCGCAGGCTGTTATATTCTGGGAAATCCTTCTATCTTGCCTGGGCTGCTACAAGCCAGAGGTGGAAAGAATGACCCAGCCTCCATCTGGTTTGAGATGATTGCCATTCTAAGAACTTCTTTCACCTGGTATCCTTAATGACAAGATTAAGCTTGTAGTGATCTGTTAACATCTGAGGAGACTCCAGCTATAATATTTGACCCTCTTTGCTTAATATTTCTACAGGGCTGGAATGCGATGCCTTTTGTAAGGAGAAAACACTCCCCCGAGTCCTTCGAAATGTAAACAGCCAGTTACTTGTGGTTCGACCCGATTTAAACATAGCAGCTTTTGAGGATGTGACCGATCAGGAGATGAAATCTGGTACACCATTTTTTCAAACACATACTATAACCATTGCACAGTTTCTTTAGTCTACATTATGAGACTGAGCATAAAGACTTAAAATTCATTTGTAAGAATAAAGCTAAACTAAGAGAGCGGAAATTTTGTGTCTTGTGGCATTGGTAACGGATTAGGTTCCTGGATTGGACTGAGGGATGTCCCATGCAAAAAAGAGCTGCTAAGATTTTGGGTTAGCTCTGATCACAAACTAAATTCTTAATCCCCCTTTTTGTGTATGTGTTGGATTACAAAAAATAATTTTTAGGTTTAAACAATGTATATTTAGCACTAAAAGCTCTTACTCTCTTCTAAGCCGTAGTTAACAAGGTACTTAGGATTTTGGCTTTGATTTTATTGGGGGGGCCCTCCAGACTTCATTCAGAACCATATTTGTCGAACATTCTACCCATACTAACTGGTGACTTTGCATGCTTTCTTGCAAATTCAAAATCTTGGTTACTGAATGATTGCAGAAAGTCAAATATGTGCTACTAGCAGTCATAAAAATTCAAGTCCTGGCTCTCCTGTCAGCGAGAGTATCCTGGGAAGACACCAGTTGCCAGTGGAGTGGTTCAATTGCTGCAGTGCTCTCCTGAGCAGACTATTAATCATAAACAATTTCTATTTAGGCGACGGAATGCACTTCAGCATCCACTGTTACAAAACTACCACACCTTCAGCAGGGATGCCTGTCGCATTCAGCGTCCGGGTAGAAGATAAAAGTTACTACATGTGTTGTGAGAAAGAATGTGGAAAAATGATAGTTCGATTTAGGGTAAGTATGTGCTTTCCATACCTTATGTATACATGAGGAGTAGGTGAAATTAAGAATTCCAATATGTGTGAGCAAAAACCAAACTGCTCAGGTCTTGTGCTGGGACTAACCCATTCCTTTTTTTCTTCCTCAGGAAGGAGAAGTTCCCGAACAAATTCCTGGTGAAAGTAATGTAATCTTTTTCAAAAAGACATTTACATCTTATAGCTCCAAAGCATTTAAGTTTGAATACTCATTAGAACAGGGAATGTTCTTGGCCTTTGAGAAAGAAGGCCACTTAAGAAAACTAATTCTCAAGAAACTGTCAAGAGAAGATGAAGTGGATGAAACCATGAAGATAAGTTTCTAACTTAAGTTGGAATGAAAGTCACAACCTATGGCATACTTCAACAGTCTTAAAATAATTTTGTCTTTTTATAAAATAAATCTTATTCTTAATCCGAGGCAAGCCAGTTTTATGTTTTTAGCTACCATAGGTCAGTATAAAAATTAGCATCTTATAAAGGAAAATAAATGAAATTCTTGGCAAAAAGAAGCAGAAAAACTTTTTCCAGTCAGACAGAAGAGATTTACACAATGAAGAAACGAGAATGTGTGTGCCTATGTGGCCCTGTATAGTTTGGCCCCTAAAATCTTCACTGCCTCTTAATCAAACAGCTTTAAGGACAATACATATTCATAAAAATAATGCAGAGTAACAGTGTGAACAGTAATGCAATAGTATGAACTAGTATTTGACTTTGATTTAAAAAAAAAAAAGCTATCTGCAGAGAAAACGTTTCAAGTAACACAAAAGTAGTAAAAATCATTCAGAAGCACACACACACAATTTCTGTAAATTCTTTATTGCATGGATTAAGAAAAAAGTATTCCCTTTTCTATGTCAACTCGCAGGGTCCAAAAAGTTACAGGGTGTGCCTTACATATTGTTCAGTTGTTGTGATGTCAAAAATAACAGTTCAGTTTTCCGCAAGTCAAGTTTGTTTTACAAAACAGGAAACCAAACAACAGCTGTTTTAGAAAAACACTCATTAAAGCTGCCATTACAAGGAAACTTGCCTTCAGCTATGTAAGTCTTTCACTGATGTAATTATTTCCTCCCAATTTACAGTGCAGCTTAAATGAACTCTCACCTGGACATTACCCGCTTTAAATCTACTTTTCTAACATTTTTACTGGTGTTGCAATAAATCAAAAAACAATGGATATTTATTTCTAAAAGACTAGCTCTGAACTTGCTGCATACTATGGACCCTTGGTTATTAATTTCTTTTGCATTAAACATGTTGGTAAAATATGAAGAAGCAGAGGCAGCAGTGAACAATCGCGTTTGTCAGGGACTCGGTCACACCTCAGAGGCTCCACAGCATGGCAACAGCCTTGCAGATACCAACATCGTAATAGTTAAAGTAGCAGAGGCCAGCGAAGGTAACGGCCGACAGTACATACAAACCAGTATTGGCCAGTTTAATGGGTGTATCTCCATGGACGTAGTCAGTTATAACCTGTCCAAGACCCCTATGGAATAAGAGGGAGGAAAAAGCTGAGATCAGGAAAGAGCGTTCCTCACTGAAACTCACCCTGTTTATGGGAACATCCTACTAAGATAATTCAAACACATCATTTTTTAAACCTGCTATCATCCACCTTTCCTTAAGAATACCCACTTCCCACTCAAGAAGAAGATGCATCTGTTTGAAAAAAGCAAACCAAAACAACATGCCACGTATTCTATTAAAAAATATACATATTGGCTCAGGGTTTTCTTAATGGTACTGAGGAAACAAGGTGTTGAGCACAGCTCTTTGAAACAGAAGCATCTGTAAAAGCTGCCTCCCCGAAACAGTGGGCAGCTTACCTGATTTCCAAGGACTGAAGAAAAGAAACCAAAGGAAATATCCTTCTTGCCTGAACAGCAAGGTGTGGCTCTGGGACTAGTCATGGTCTCAAATGCACATAAGATTCCAGAATGCATATTTAGATTAGAAAATAGTGGCAACCAAAAATTAGCATGCTTTGGTTTTTTCCAACATCTGTCAGACTGGACGTACAGTCTTGTCCACATTTAAACTATTCAACAACAGGAAGACAGAAGATGCTACTGAACTACTGTGGTAGATCTCTTCCAAAAAGTGCAATTGTATTTGCTTTCTGCAGCGACAGATGTCCACTTGGTAAAAAAGAAAACCATATTTAATGTAAAAATTTTCTTCCTAGGATTTTGCCTTGGTCTAGCCTGAAGCTGAAGGACCTGTGTCCCACAAATGAAGACACACTACTGACCTAGCAAGGTTCAAAGTCCTGCAGCTGATGCCACTGCAAGCGAACAGAGCTCGGTTTCACCTAGATGGGGCTCTAATACCATAAAGATGTCAAAAGTGAGAAAAGGGGTCCAAGGAACCCCCAAATACACAGAAGAGAAGCAGAAAGCAGAAGCAGTCTAAAAGGCCACTACTCTCGAACTATTACAGCTAGTTTTTACAACTGACAGTGGAATACGGTCAGGAGCGCAAGCAGCACTCACCCACACTTGGAGCCTTCCAAAGTGCAGATAAGTAAGGCACACCCGATGGGGGATTCACAGGCTGCCCCTCAGCTGTAGTGCTGATAAAGGATTTGCATAAGATCTTTTCTTTGCATGGCACAATAAGACTGGGCCATGCTAAGACTTCTCAGAAAAACTGGTGTGTGACTTTACAGCACACTACAAAGTCCTCATGGGAAAAGACCAGTGGCCCTGAAAACAAGGAAGGGAATTAGTGAGAAATAGCTGATGAGTGATAGTTGCACAATCTACCACAGATCACAACACAGCAGCTTAACTGGGCAGAGAAATCTTTATAACATGCCAGCAAAAACAGTACAAGACAAACATGGCCTCAGGTATCCTGAGCAAGTCTATTGATAATGTTTGGACTGATAACCACCTAAATATCTGAAGCACTATTTCAAACATATTTTAGGACAAGATTTCCTACGGAAAAACACAGCAGTTTCTGATCAGCTACTAGAGGGATTATCTGATCCGTTACAGTGATCAAATTAACTTTTATGGCAAGCAAATATCTTTTTTCTTTTAAAGATATTCTAGTACTGACTACCTACGAAAATGCAAGAGGAGAATTTTCATACATAGGAACACCTTTAGGTTTTTAAGACAATGTTGTGCAAAGTAAGAGTTTAATACTGGAGAAATTTTCCAGCTTAAGAAGAGAACAAAACAACCCACACAAATGCAGAAGGAATTCACTCTGATGAAAGTTACTGGCAGAGCTGCACACAAGCAACAAGACATTTTTCTCATGGAGGAAGTCCCCACACTGTTTATGGAAAAGGGGCTTCTAGTATAAACAATCCTGACAGTTTTGTTGAGAGACATTCACCAAATAATGAAATGTGCGTGCATTGACACAAAGTGCCATCTACAGAACCCATTTCAACACATCAACCTGCATCAACCTGTTCCATCGCCTGGAATTTCTCCATATGGTCGTGTACAGCACCAACACGCACAGACCAAAAAAGGGAAGAAATGCTCCAAAGGTAGGCAAGCTTAGTTTTGTGTGTTTTGTATTTGAAAAAGCTCTTCAAGGATAGCCACATTTCAGATGAATTCTGTACTAGATTTGAGGGCTTTGGGAAGAAGCTCCCAGCCACAGTGAGGAAAGTGCAAGAATCCCCGGTATACCTTTGTAAGGGCAAAACTGAGATTTAAGAAAACCTGGCATCCCAGAGTACCATGAAGTTGCCTATCTGCTGTATCTCCGTGAGAAGGAACTACAGACCAGCAGGCCAACTATGCAGCGGGATCCACTCCTAAATAGACTTGTCTAGCCTGCTCACATTAAAAATCACAGCGGAACTACACTCAAGAACATGAGCAAGCATCTACTTCCCAGGAATCAAGAAAATAATGATCAAGGTCTCAGCTTGAGTGGAACATTTGCTGTGAATTCATGATGCACAGTCTCATCACCACTGAGATGTACTAAAGCCAGCCCACAGCACAGAACCTTAGAAGAACAACTTGTCTTATACAGATCTGTCCAGTTGCTGTTCCTTCTGTTAATACAACATTGACCCTTCTACAAGATAAAAAAATACAAGATTCTACATAGCAAGTGACAAGAACATCCTTCTAAGGTAAAACACTCTGTACAAAAGGACTAGAGAATGTCTATGGATTCCGTAAGAGTAAGATGTATCCTGCTGTCTGACTGAGAGAACAGTGTGACAAAGGAAGACCAAGGGACAACTAGCCTTGTCAAAGACCATGACTGTCACAGAACTTGGAGAGTCTCGGACTTTATTTGCATCTCCTTCCAGGTGTTTTATACTAGATCAGGAAATAAGTCAGCAGACTTACTGCCATACACAGGTGTAAGACCTAAGGCTCAGAGCCATCCTGACTATCAGACTTAACTGTGAGGGACCTATTGTACTTACCAGTGGCCGTGGAGCGTGAGGGCAGCAGCCAGTGAATAGTCCACGGCTGGCCCTGGATACAGGTAGGCTGCAGGAAGGAGACCCAGCAAGAGGACACTGACAGCTCGCTCACCTGTCCAGTGCAAAGATGCAGCCTTGGAACTGCCTGTAAGGAGTAAACTTTTTCAGTGCAAAGTTCCCGTTTAAAGTGCTGTACCCTTAAAAACACATATCCCATCCTGATCAGCACCACACAATTACGTGTTTTCTCTGAGCCAATTACTAAACTTTCATCCAATCAAACCCTAGATGCTTTTGAATTACTGCTACAGAATAGATATCTATTTTACAATGTCTAAAAGGTTAAATACTCTCTTTGCTGCTACTAAGAAAGAGAAGCTTCTTTTACTACAGACGAATAGAAGCTCAACAGGTAAAGGCAAAACAAACATCAGTCAGCCCTACTTTCACAACCTGCGCTTCAGGACTAAGGTCTAAGTCAACCATCAAAGGAGAGAAATATCTCTGAAGGCAAAGCCTTTCTGTCTAGAAAATTTCCTGACTGCTACATACTATTTACTACTCCCACCTTTTAAAAAATGGCTTTGAGATCCAGACGGATACAACTACAGGTTCCACGGAATGGAACATGATGCTAACTCTGTGCACAGTTCTGCCCAGGAACCAATATTGCTATTTCAAACTGCAAATAGCAGATTAAACTTCTGGGAACATCACAGTGATATATGGCCTAGAAGTAGCCTGAAGGCCAAAGGATTTCAATCTTCCATTGAACCAGAATGTCAGCATCAGCCCAGGCTATAAAAAAATCAAGAATTGACTCGATAACATTATTTCATCTAAACCAAAATGCAAATGCTTTTCTTCATTTTTGCAAAGAGAAAGGAATTTAGAAAAGTGATAAGATTAAGAAAAGCAAAGGACCTGAAGTAAAACATGAAAGGGACCTAGACTAATAAGCTGTCCCTGTAGAACTCCACAGCCAAGAACGCTTCAGAGCACATGCATGAAGTCTGTTGTTAATATGAAATCCAGGATAGAAAGGAAGGAAACGGCTTAGCTTGTGTTTACGCCAATTTCTTTTACAAGTGTTTCATCATCCTTTCCACTTCTAAGTTGCACTGTAATGGCTACAAAACATCCTTAACCTCTGGTCACAACATTGCTCATATTTAATTACGCAACAGACAGACCAGAACTTGGTCTCCCTGTAGTTATCTTTCATCACCTCTGTGCAGTCTTAACACATGGATAGAGGAAAAAACAATTTAAGAAATACTCTCTGCCTGCAGATCAGACTTCTCAGATTAACCTCTGTGAATCAGAAACTCAAAGTTACAGTGTTCTCATATTATTACTGCTACTGAACCATAAGAAACATTAAACCTTCTGACTTCTTTTAAAACCTTTCAACCTTTTTTTCCACTCTGAAAAACTACCACCTTTGTTAACAAGCAGAGATTTATTTTTTTAACATTCATTTACTATCTCCTATTTCAAGATTTGCAGCATTCACAGGCTCGATTGCCAACACGGCAAACGTCAGTTTCAAATTCAAGCGGCGTAAAGTCGCGCACACCCGGGCAGAGGGCAAACCAAGAGCCGTGCTACCGACGGAAAACAGCCCTGCCGCGGGCGATGGGCACACACATTCGGGCAACACCTCGCCCAGGAAGAGCGACTGTGCCGTACATCCCTTTTTTTCTGCCCTCGCTTACTCCCACCTACCATTTCAAATCTCCCACCTGGCCCAAAAAAACCAGCAACCCTGCCCAGGCGAGGAGAAAGCGATTCGACGACGGGTGAATAACGGCCC